CTGTAGGTGTAAATGGTAAACAGTGGTGCATGGCACCTGATCCAATCTCAACCGTATTTTCACTGACATATTTCTAACCAATTGTTAATTCTTTGTTTTTAAACTTAATTTGACTACGGATTATTCCGTCTACCTGATCAATATATAGGACTCAATTCCGGTGCAATCGGTTGACAGAGGATGTTTATCCTTCCTTGGCATCTGATCCCACCTCTTGAAATGCCAAAAGACCGTCTTTCCCCCCTGTTCATAGATTGTCATTGTTTTAGGTTTTTTGAGATCGATCACTTTTCGACATCTTCACCTATTTCTTTCTTATATAAGGGTCTTAAATTTCATCTTGTGTAATGAAGGTTTAACTCGTATTTAATTCATCACAATGCCAAATATTGCGCTGTATACTGTTAGAGAAATATCTTGTATTTATATCATCTCTGTTATGCAAAATTGCGATTAAAAAAACATCAAACAAACAACAAAGCAGGTGTTAAGGTTCGATCATTTACCGGATTGCATCAAACGTTTTTCCATAAATTATTGAGACAGGCCTCTGCAATTACAGGCGGGAAGAAACAAGGGCTAAATATTCAATTATCCTGTCTGAGGAAAAAAATAAGATGTGTACGTCAAGTGGATATTTCAAATAAAAGAGGTTTTCCCTAAATATGTCCGTATTTGTACTTGTGATAAAATATTGATAACAGTTTGCATGTGTTAAACAAGAGAGATGTTACGTACACCTGTTCGTGTTATCTGGATTCCTTTCTTTGTATTCTGCTTTAATCCCATATATAACTTTAAATTCTATTTTGCGAACATAAGCATATCATTCGGACATGTTTACATAGTAATATGTAGTCAGTATATTAAAGGTGCCTGGACACGATTTGAAGTTAATATTTTCTCAAATGTTCTGTATAATATAATGACCTATTAGTCGATATAACAAAGCGTAGCATAGAATATAGAGACAGCAAGACCAACTCTCCACTATTGTCCAGTGATGTGTACAGAGTTTAACAAATTGAACACACCCGGTGAAACGTAAACATTAACAATAACAGAGCTCGTGTCCTCTTTAAAAAACAGTTTACGTTTCACCGAATATGTTCAATTTGTTAAATTCTTCACACATCACTGAGCACGGACTGACAATATTGGTGAGTTGGTTTTGCTTTCTCACATTTTTACCTTGAAGGAGATGGGTGAACATGACGAGCGATAAGCCTATAGTGTGACAAACATGAAGATGAAAAATTAAATTTCAATTATATCAAAATTTTCCTTGATATTTCGTCTAACATTAAAATATACTTTATGTAAAATCTCTACAATTTGCAAAATCCCTCAAAGAGTAAAATTATTTGCCTGTGAAATATTAGACACACACCAAAGCGAGCAAAAAGAGTCATTTTCTCATACTATAACACTATTTTTCGATATGAATGGGTCTTCGCTCCACCTTTTTGAAAGTTAATCCTCAAAGTTTGCATAAAAATATACATTTTTTGGTTACCAAAAATATGGAGCAATGACCCACTATACCTTAAAAATTTACTTTTATGACAAAACATTCGTATCTTTTCGAAAAATACTTGAAGTCCATTAAGTCAAGGGTCATATCACAAACATGATTTAAATGCCACTCTTCATCAGGACTTGTGTAGTCTAGTGGTTAGCGTGCTAGTCTCGAAAGAAAATGATACTCAGGGTTTTTATTGCTAGGGTTCGAACCCCACGAATATCGCATTAATTTTTTTTAATAAAAGAATAGATTTTGCCGAGAAAATTGTCCTCAGAAAAGTTTTGTTTCTCATAATTTCTTGAATTTCAATAATGAGACGGTAATAATTGTCAAAATTCACAAACTGAACATGATTTATATATATCTGAAGCTATAGGCTTTCTGCACGCTATGTTCGCCCATCTCCTTTGCTGGATTATAGTTTTAATATTTTTCATTAATACACAACAAAATTTCTACTTTTCTTAAGTGTTCAGGATAAAGTTTACTTTGTGAAAGTGCAAGGACGTGTCAATAGAGTGCGTCCCAAAATTCGAAGTCTCAATAATTTCCAGATAAAATAAGTTTTTAAATTATATTTCTATCTATTATATTGCTATCTAGGCAAATAAAAAACGTGCTGTTGGTGCCAATGGAATTCTCACAGCGGCGCCCGACACTACATTGATAATGGAAGTGAAATGAATTTATCTATATATTAGTTTTATTTTATTTGTCAATGCATGTTGAAGTGAAACTAACATTATTTTGAAGCGCATTTAATTTACAATAACTTTTAAACTTGCACATAGCTACCAAAAATGAAGATATATTAATTTAAAAAGTACAGAGAAATTCACTTTTATATAAATACTCACTCCTGTCCTAACACGGGATTGAACTGTCAACCTGCAGTATCTGTCTCTTAGCAGGCATAAATGACCATTATTAGGATATAAACGACACATGGAACAATCTGGCCCACCTCTAATGTTTTAGTGATCCGTTCCTGCTATGTATTGCTTGAATGGAATGAGCTTGAATAATGTTCGTTATCTCCATATTTCATAAATGATAATCATTGAAAAAAAATCATTGTCATTACTTGAACGAACAATAGAAAAGAAAGAGACATATGCCAAAATCTGCATAAAATGAAAAACTATTCGAAAAGAAAAGAATCTGGCCTTTAACACAATACATCAAACAGTAATTAAATAGGCAATGTGGAAAAGATGAAGATAATGAACAGTGATCGATCTCAAAAACAATGCAGATCTGTAAACATAAAAATCCACGGACATCAGGAAATTCCAGAGATTGGATAAGGTGCCTAGGAGGAGTAAGAATCCCCTGCCGAATGGTCATACAGGCCGTAAGCCCTATATATTTATCACGTAGTCAGAATTTTCCGTAGTCAAATTTAGTATGAAAGCAAAGGCTAACATTTGGTGTGAAATATTTCTGTTAAAGAACGACCAAATGATAGGTTAGATGTGCTAACAAAGACATCATAACTACCATAGAATTTTCGAAATTCCGAATTTAAACGGGGTTGTTGAAATCCTTGTAACATCAATTTATCTGTCTAGCTGTCCTCGGTTTATAGAATTAATCGTACTCAGAGTATGATCTTGAGTATCAAATGAACACCATATGCAGCTGAAAGCGGAATATTACTACACAAATAAGGAAATTTCACAAGGAAAAGCTAACGTCATCGTGTTTGTCATACAATTTAGTTGTCAGTTGGCGCTAATATCGTCTTTATTCAGTCAAACAGAGGTGACAAACGCAGGGCTTCTTCAATTTCGAGTTCTTTGGATATATCTATCTGACATATTAATGGAAGTAACTGTTGTTAACTGTGAAACATCGTCGTGTATCTGAATATCTAGTTGAAGGCCACAGCAAATGTTTCCTTCTCCTACTGTACAAGTTTTTGAATAAATACAGCTTATAGAAATATAAAAACAAGTCGGCTAATAAAGGAACACAATTAGAGCTCTTCGGATTTCCAGTAGTTTTTGGAAGACCTGCTCTCAAAGACATACATTAATGTTGTCAATGAGGATTTCCAATCCTTTTGATATCAATTTCAGAGTACTTGCTTGTGTCTAGAAACAGAGTGATTTTAACAATGAAATTTTGTTCTGACCAACTAAAAAATGTTGAAAATTCCATGTTCCATGTCTATTGAAGAAGCAGTTGTCTATGATATCAAAAGCATAGTTTTTTTTTTAATTTCTCGTGGGGAATAGTTGTATACAGTGTAGAAAGTCATGTTTTGAAGATACTGACGTTAAAAAGATGTTTGGTTTAAAAATATTCTAAAAGACCTTTGGAGAATCTATGTTTAATTTCCATCACTTCTCGAATATGCTTTAGCAAAGAATGTCTGAAATTTCTCATTAACAACAATTAATATTTTTATGAGGCAAAAAGACAGAGCATTTGCTAAACCCAATGTATCTTTCTTTGTGAGGATGTTTATGAAATTTAAGAATGTTTGAGAATGGTTGACTGACATGTTTTTGTTTGTTTGTTTGTATGATGTTAAACGTCACCACTTGCCGGTGGAGAGCTACAAATTTTAACCTATACCCGGACCTTAGGGCCATTAAGCAGTGAGAGATCTTTTTCGTGCCAACACCTACTGCGACACGGGACCTCGGTTTATACGGTCTCATTCGAAGGACCGGTCTCCACGTCCCACAGTGGGATTCGAACCCGCGACGTAAGGATCAACTCCTTACTTCGCGACTCTAGAGCTGACGCTCTAACCACTGCGTGATGTTGAAGAATTTTATCCTTAGAAAGTGAATTGTGAGTTTAAGTTGGATTTTTCGATGTAGAATTAAAACCAAACTCTTCTAGATCGAAAACACATATATAAAAATGAGACTTAAAAACAAAGATGGTGTTGTTGCACGCAGTGTCTGCTGGAACCATGACATATAGTCTTTCTATATATATATCTTCCTATATATAATTTATTTAATAATAATTAAATATAGTCTTTCTAACGTTAACGAACAGTAAGTAATACTAACATATACAATTTTATTTAATCGAACTGGAGTTATTTCTTGATTTTTAGTTATCACGAACACTCTAAAAATATTACACTCACTTGGATCAATTTTTAGGTACGTTATGGTTCCACAAATTTGTTTAGAAAAAGTGTAAAAACTGTTCCAACACAGTTTATAAATATGCATATATATGTATATATAGATTTATATTTAATTTATACTTAATTTATATATTATAAATTAAGGTGCTATTAATTTCATTTATTGACTGGATTCGAGGGCAACATGCGTTTTGTTGGACCCAAGAACCAAACTGTTTGCCTGAGGCCGTTAGGCCAAAGGCAAACAGTTTGGTTCGAGGGGTCGACAAAACACATTTTGCCCGAAAACACAGTCAATAAATGTTTTGTTATGCCTTTTATTCATTTATTTATTTTATTATTATTTTTTGACAGATATGTATGTGGAACACCAATGCAAATGAGATTTCGCTGACCCCGCCCACTGTGTAACGTAAGCGGTCCAACATCTCATCTGCAGGTCCAGTATCTTACTCCGCGGTTAAACATCGATTTTTTTATGCCCGCTCAGTAAAACATTGAAAATGTTAGACTTTTATTAGTATTGATTTATATAGGAAAATTTTTTTAAAGGTATAACAAATATATATATATATATATATATATATATATATATATATATATATATATATATATATATATATATATATATATATATATATATATATATATATATATATATATATATATATATATACGTTTTTCAGTGAACTTGTCATTATGAACAACATTTATTCTGCATGCAAATTACATGACGCCCGTTAGGGCAGAACTAAAATTGTTCATAACACCATGTTGTTTATAACTTACATTTGCATTTTATGATATTGTCAACTAAGAATGTCAGAGGAAAGTCTGTTCCTGATAAATGCACGGCTGCTTGTCATACTGGAAAAAAAACTCATGAAAATGAAATAAGCAGACCTGATAGCAGACACTTACCTCTTGAATGTCAAAAATATGCTGAATATCGACACTATGAACTTTTTTTTGAAAAACAGGTCAAAGGCAAGATTAAATGTCACGAGGTCACTAGGTCGGTAACCATGGTAATTTACAAAAGCCATAGTGCCAAGGGAAAAACACCTATATAACCATATACATGGGCGCAGACATAGTGGACACTTAAAGTTGTGCGGAGAGAAAAAAATGCTATAGGGCCCATGAGTAGACATTATGAGAAAAGACTTGTATTTTACAAGTGAAATAAAGGTGAATCTCGAACTTTCATTGCAAGAAAGTCAATTGCCCAAAATTCAATTTATGAATCAGTGACAGGGTTTCAACATTGTATGGAAGTCTATGGGAAAACATTTGGTGGTGTTTGTCCTATAGAGTAGGTATGTATTGCATAGATAAACATTGACTACAGCCAAACAAATCATTACTTCCTATATTTTTTGCATTTGAATTATACTTCAGTTAGTTTTTACTGTCTGTATGAAAATCAGAGGGTTTGGGTAAACTGAGGCTCCCAACGGAGACTCCACATGGTGCAAAAATGTTTTGCGCCAATTAGCTATCATATTTGCAATGAATGTATATGTACATATTTTTTAATGAATATTTGTGCTGAAATTTATTAGAAAATTCATGTATAATTCAAAGAAAAATATACAAAAAATACTAAACATATATTCTAAATGTTTTATTTATCCAAATTGTTTTAGAAGAAATGTACACCAGCATAAATAGACATTAAAATGTAGCACACAGTTCCTTTAATTATTGGAACTCTTCAACTCCAGCGAAAAAGACAATAAAGTTCAAACTACTTTGCGTATGTCCTTAAATGAATGTGTTTTATGAGTGCAGACATTGATATAGATTGACTAATCATCTTTCAAAATTGTATTTATCAGAATTAATGGAACGATGACTGTTTCGTTAACTAGAAAGATTACTTTGCTTTTAAATAAGGGGCCTAATCCAACTGCAAACCAGATTTCAGTCGGAAATTCCCGAAAAATTGGCCCTGCAAATGCAAGTGATCCCAACATAATTAAAATTTTTCATATATGTAAAGTGCAAGCATTTTCCTTCTTCCTTGGTTATTTACTCTTATAAGTATATCACATACTTGGTATCATATTTTTAGATTAAACTCAAGCAGTCCAGGTGAAACATTTTTCGGATAGGAACAGGAAACGGATTACCAAAATTCTATTTCAAAGCTCAGTTTAATAAAGAGAGATGAAAAATTCTGTTTCCTTTTTATGTATTGCATTTTCTTTATGGTTGACTACAGATAGTTTTATAACGTAAGTAGAAACTTCAATTTCTTTGAAACAGGTAAATACTGTTCAGCAGAAATTGTTCTGTGTCGAAATGAAATTAATGTAGCAGTGCAGAATGTTCCAGATTTTTTTTCTTTGACAGCCTGTCGTCAAAACCCTGTTCCCAGGATAAAATATGGGATGACAAGAAAAATATTTGTAAAGGTCAGTATTTCAGTTTCATTTTTAATACTTTTACTAAAATATTATGATTTAAAAATATAGAAAATTACCTAGATACTTTACAAAAATACAAGAAGGCTGAGAATAGAGTGAATAACAGTCTGACGTTTTGTTACCTCAAGTTAAGGATTGAAGATTAACTTAATTTTTAACTTATAAAATATACATGACTACATAATACAGTAATCTCGAATGGTTTACTCATTAAAAAATCGTTAAAAGAAAATTATATTTTAAATAAGCCAAAGTTGTATTCTTTAATACTTTTATTATGCTGTTTGTATTCTGTATGTTAGTGGAGTGAAAATAAAATTTAAAAAAAAATTAATGATTACCTAAGAAAATAGATTAAATGAATTTTTAAAATATGTACTAGTATATGTAAGCATATAATTTTAATGATTGGATTTCTACATTATTTTTTTATATAAAACTACGGGTATATATTTCATTAACAAAAGTATATGGCAGAAATCTTCCTCGCTTTGAAATAGACCATTTAGAATTAGTGACTCAATAATTTAAATCTGAAAATGACAAGTCAGAATCCATGGCTTACAAGAATTTCATAGTTTTTATAATGTAATTATTTGTACCGCATCATAATTATTAACGAGGTTCGCTCCTGAGCTTTTGAGCAGATTTATATCTTAACCTATATTTCAAAAATTCTGCATAAAGTTTTAATTCTTACAATAAATTTGGATTCTACAATGCCAATTAAACAATATTAAGTTAAAACTCCATGATTAAATTCCATACCAAAGGCATTAAGCGAGGAACTATATTTTGTGGCGGAAGGTTTTTTCGAAGAAAATGATCATTATTTCTTTTTCGAAGTATTTAAAGTATGTTAAGTTTGGATTCCTATTTTTCCATGTAGCCTGCACACAGAGTTATTTTGTGCAGTGAACTGTTTTATACTGGTCCTAAATTATACATCAAATAAACTGTCATGGATTCTATCATCATATTTGATAAATATAGCAAATATATTGTGAAAAATCAAGAAAAAATAGCTCTAATTTAAGCTTAAAATTGGCACTTTTTTAGTAATATCTAAAAATTAACATCACAGACCCCCACTTTTTATTTTCTTTTCTGAATATATAAGATACTTTTAACCATTCTTCTTAAATTCAGTAAAATGTCATTACTTTCAAATTATTTTTTTGCTTGTTAAATTTTTAATGCCAGAAAAATGAAATTTTTTGAGTGCAAAAAGGTCAAGTAATTGAACATGCGGAGTAATTTGAAATTTTTTTCATTGTCACAAATTTTAATGTGTCTAATCAAGATGAAATAAGGCTGTGTTTGTTCCCATAATTATTTGAATAAAAAAATATTGGAGGAAAAACTTTATAAATTGATTTATGTGTAAGACGTATTTACAGTGCAAAAAGGTCAAACTAAATGCTCTGTAGCGCCAAAAGAAGCGCATTGACCCCCATTTTTTGTTTTGATTTTTAATTAAGCTATGTGTATAAATTCTATAAATATACTTGATAAAAAATTCTCATTACTTTTGAAGGCAGGATCCAACCTCCTTAACTAAAATTGTGGATAACAGATACACTTTTTTTTGAGTAGTGTAGTGTAAGATGTTGGGGCTATATTATGAATTCGTTGTTTTCCTGTCGTAACCGATTCCTTAGGAGTCCACAAGTTTGACATCACATTTTGCCATTTAGTACCTTCAAAGTGTACACTGTACACTGTACCACTCTATAAAATACAAAGCGTGAACATGTGTTCTAATGACTTTGATAAAAAATCATCATACTTGGTATGAGAAAAGGAAATATGAAATGGAAACACATATATATGTACTGAACAAAGGAAATTATAAACAAATTTCAAATAACCACTTTAAACTAATAGTGAACTTATTTTAATTAATTAAAAATGGATTGTATTTTACATGTAAGTTAAGTAAAAGCGGTTTGTGCTCTTATTTCCTTTGGAGCAAAATATATTACTTCCTTAGATTTTAAATTTGATGAATACCAAAGCAAAATATTTACTTTTAGAAATATTCTTTGTTTATTTTGATGGTAACATTCTTATTTATTGAAACAATAATTGTATATTGAAAAGTTTGGGCATTGAAAGAGGTTAAACGTCACTTATGTGACAAGGAGACCACTCACGTTCAGACGAATACAATGAAAATCTTAGAATACCTTCTAGAGAATAATGTGTGTAGTGGTTATCTCAATAAATCCTTTCATCGCATATTTAAACTTAAAATTCTTTTCTTTCATTCTCCTTTAATTAAGGAGCTCATTGTCCCAAATTTCAGTAAAATCTTTTCTTTTCTCAACTCTAGACTCTATTTTGAAGTTTGACATAAAAGAGCAAAACACTCTATACATAAACGATTGCTTAAAACTTTTTTGGGAAAGAGAAAGGGAGGAAATTAAAATGTATCTAGCAACAAAGCTTTATGATAAACGTGATGACTTTAACTTTTTAATCGTCAACTTCCCTTACTTGTGCAGCAATATACCCTTATCACCTGTATACGGGGTTTATATCTCTCAGTTGATTCGATACGCTAGAGCATGCTCTACGTATGAACAATTTATAAAACGAGATAAATTATTGACAAACAAGTTGATGAAACAGGAATATCAGCAGTCTCGTTTAAAGTCATCATTTCGTAAGTTCTATGGTCGATACAATGACCTTGTCAGCAAATACAATCTTTCATTAAGTCAAATGCTGTCTGAATTTTTTCATACTAATTACAGTGCAGGAAACTAATTTTGTTACAGCATCGATGCTGATTTGAATGCTTGCTTTGCTTGCTGATTTGAATGCTTCCTTTGCTTGCTGATTTAATACTAGTAATCTTTATCCTGATGCTGTTTTATAAATAGGTTAATGCTACCGGAAGCAGCATCATGCTACCGGAAGTAGATAATGAATTTCAGCATTGCCGTTTAAAGCAATAAAAGTGCCTTTCACACTTATTTGATCATAATATCTCACTATGTATCAATAATGTGAATACTTTAACCAATATTCTTTCTTTCTTTTTTAATTTTTTCCTGAATTAAAACTCATTGATTTTCTGATGCTAGTAGGATAACGCTGGTTTTATGTAGGTCAATGCCGGTTTTATCCTATGCTTGCTGATGCTGATCCTGGTAATGCTGTTTTTTAAATGCTGATCCTGATGCTAGCTCTATCCTGATGCTACTAATGCTTATGCTGATGCTGGTTTATGTTACAAAATTAGTTCCCTGCACTGTATTAGGCCACCATTTAAACACTGACTTGTCGACGAATTTTTCCGTTATTTCCCGATTATGACAAGGAGCACACGGCGGGTGTGACCGGTGAGCAGGGGATGCTCACTCCTCCATGGCACCTTATCCCACCTCTGATGTCTTAGAGGTCCGTGTTTGCTCTGCTCCTATTTTTTTAATGTTTAATGGACTTTTGAGCTTGAAGACTTTGTTATCTCCACATATTTCATTGATTCAATAAGGATACTGCATTAAAAATGTGAATTGGAAAGACAGGCAAAAATAAGAAATCCATGTTCTGAAGAACGTAGCGATTCCTAAAACCTCATACATAGGTAGTATATATATATATATATATATATATATATATATATATATATATATATATATATATATATATATATATATATATATATATATATATATATATATATATATATATATATATATATATATATATATATATAACTGTGATATAATTCATAGAGTAGGTGAAAACGGTAAAGATAATGACTAGTGATCAATCATTGAAAAAATCAAACAATACAAATCTGTGAACAGAGCACAAAACACGGAATTCGGGAATTCCAGAGGTAGGATCAGGTGCACAGGAGGAATAAGAATCCCCTGTCGACTAGTCACACCCGAAATGGTACCAATGTTTCATTTTATTTTGAAAGATTGTGTGTCCGGTTACTTTGGTGTCAATTGTTCTCGCACTTGTCGATTCCCAAGTTTTGGAGATGACTGTCAGCAAAAATGCTATTGTACCCCACAGTATTGTCATCCGTCAAAAGGATGCATATTTAACAATGGTAAGATTGTTAACTGACTATGAATGATCAATACATATTTTATTTATTCTTTAAAAAAACTTGCTGGTTTTATCATGTATCAAGAAATATAATACAGATATGTCCAAAATTATAGGCAAAGAATTTTAGATCAGTTGAAAAATAAAATTTCTTCTCAGAAAAAGAAAAAAATGCAACTCAGCAATAATTTCTTCCTCTTTCTATTTTTACAGAAAAAGAAATGGACAACAGTGTGACACATATGAATTCATCCAACATCTTTCTCGGAATCATAGTCTTTCTTTTGACATTGCTTGCCATTTTGCAAGTCCTAAACATCAGATTGAAAATACTTTGTAGACGGCCCATGCATCAAAGAGATAGTAAACCGGTTTCAATTCGATATCATAGATATGAACTACCACCGTCTATTCTTGTTGATGATTCGACGTCTTATCTAGATGATGTAAGGGTCCCGGTTTTAGAGACCAACAGAAACCATGAAATGATCACTTAGTTGGAAGACATCGATGTAATGAGTTGGGATGATGAATTTAGTAAAAAGATAGGGTTCTTGATGAGGTTAAAAATATACTGACTTTGAAAAAAAGGCACTAATTTTTTTTGTCGGAAATTATGTTTACGTAAACGGTCAGCCATACAAGAAAATCGTTATTTTTTATTTATTTTTTTTTTCTTAAACGAAAAATGATTAGAAACTACGTTGTTTATATATTATAAAAACTTCTTTATGTCATAAAAGTTACAGTCATTTATTGATTAACTTTTATAAAATAAAAACCAAACTTAAAAGTGTGCTATTTCAACTTTGTAATGTTTATGAACATTCCATTTATATGTATATTTATTTCCTAAATTATTTATTTCAGAGCAGGAGTTATCTTTCTTAATCAAAAAGTTCTCTTTCATAGTATTTAGAGTCATCTTTTGTTTGTATCTGTAGAGTTACTTTTCTTAATATATACATCACTTCCTGTTGACTCCTGTTTTACTCCTTTGTGTGACCCACACAAGGATACCCATGCCAATAGTTCATTTTTTTCTGATTTATGGTGCCTCACACTGTAATTAAACTTGTGTTATTTTTATTTATTACGTAGGTATTTATCATGGTTAAACTGTTTTTGTATGAAATGTGTGTAATTTGTATATTAGGAATATCTATTGTTATCTCTTAAAAGTATGGAACACTGTTATTGTCCTATTCTTTGAGCATAAAATAACATTATTCTGTAGAAACCCACTTGTGTCATATTTTGGATTTAATGATGAATCTTTATTTCTATTTATCTTTTGAATATTTTTATGTACAACGTATTACACAGTTTTTCCTATATCTATACTAAAATATAGATACTATTTATCAAGCAATCGATAAGTAATTTTTTTGTTTTGTTTCATGCAGTTCTTTATCATTAACACAATAAATTGATGCACTGAATATTGTGTTGTTATATTATCTGCAATATATAGGCAGAATAAAATCTTAAAATTGATCGATTGATTATTTGATTGTAGGTTGTTTGACGTTCCGTTCGAGTATTTTTCACTCACATAGAGATATCACCGAATGCCAGTGAGAGGTTCAAATTTAGACCTATATTTGGCACTAAGGGCCATTGAGCAGTGAAGGTTCTTTATCGTGCCAACGCCTACCGTGACACGGTTCCTCGGTTTGTAAGGTCTTATTCGAAAGACTCCTGACATTTTTGAAGGAACAGTCACTACAAATGTTTACGTCTTAGGTTTGACGCAGCGCAGCGAACGAGAATCGGACGCGGTCTCCCAATTTCGAAGCGAATGCCCTACAACTAGGTTACTAAGACTGGTCAAATTTTATGAGGAAGTGTGGCTGTAAAATTTGTTAGCGGTACAATATGTACCGACCTTCACTGCACATATTTTCCATCGGTACAGATTGACTCCTGTGAAATCATACTTTTTCCCTTGCAACAAAATGTTTCGTACATATCGGCATATATTGCCGTCGGAGATGCTTTGTATTGCAAAGATTTGCACATTTCATCTCCATTTACATTGCTTTTTAGAATACTTTTTTCGGATCGTAGCGAGAGAGAGAGAGAGAGAGATATTTTGATTTTAGTTCATCAGGCTATTTGTACCACTCATCCTTTTCGCAGTGTCAATTACATGAAATATAGACTTTCATCGCAGCTGCTGCATCGGAGTTTAGTTTAAAGTGACAATTGTGTTTACTGAATAGAATTGACTTGTCTTTAAATAAACATGCACATCTCATGAAAACTGAAGATATGATTTTTATGTGGCCTGCAGAGCAGAGCGGCACTAAGGGATCACTTTATCAGGCGTCTGTCTGTCTGTCTGTGTCTGTCTGTCCGTCTGTCTAACCCTATATCTCAAGAACTGTAAGAGGTATGGATTTGATATTTTGCACATATATTGCTTGACACAGTGTTTTTTGAAAATTATCATGGTTATCAAACTCTTGACCTTTGGCCTACCTTTCAAAATAGCTCATATTGCCGATATACAGCATATTTTTGATATTTAAGAGGTAAGTCTATGCTATTTAGCATGCACACTATTTGTCATAAGATAATATCAAAAATGCTAGCATTACAATCCACTTGACAGTGACCTTTGACCTAATTTGCAAAAGATACCTTGGGCAGTTTAATTAAAAATATGACTTTTGGATTTTAAAAGGCAGGGTTTAGATAATTAGCATTTTCACATGTTTATGAGCTCGTTATAGTGTACTTTGAAACCGTATGATATGCAGTTACCAAAGTAATATTTTTCAATACTATGAAAATACATCGGGATCGTATTCCACAATGGATCGCGTAGACTGAGAATTTTAGTAAAGACAGACTGAACTCTCTCTTGAATGATTGATTTATTGAAAACGTGTTTAGCTCATGAAAAGTACTTTGAAATTGTTTGATATTCAGTTACCGCACAAACTTATATTTTAATACCAAAAAAATACACCGGGATCGGTATTCAACGATGGATAGTGAAGTAAAGACAGACTGAAATCTCTTTTGGAGGATTGTTGGAAACAAGTATTAATGAAATGATAAATAGTTATTTCTATTAATTTGAATTTAATTATTCATTTGAGGGTTATGGAACCATACTCTATTTGATTGTCAGTTCTATCACAGTCACACTATCCATGGATGCCATTTTTTATATGCGGGTATATGTATGAACTATCAGTCTATCATGCTTTTAGTAAATAAAAAGCTGACCACCCTTAGATTTATTTACACCTTAAATGAAGCGACCAAGCAGGCGTTCTTGGGAACACTCTAGTTTATATTATCGTCATCATCATCCATATTTCTGGAAGCCCTAACCGTGGAGCGATATTATGATCATTGAGGGTAAGGAGAGTAGGCACATATTGTAGCCGGTGATATGTGCAATGAGGTAAGTCGCTGACAACAATATGTATAAAATAACAATTAAACCTTCAAAAGGAAGCTTTTTTTCATAAGATTTTGTTAAGAATATTAGTTCCCTTATATAAGTATTATTTTCATAGATGCTTTTTGTTTCATTTTGGGAGACACAAATAAGGAAAAGGCCTTCAGAGCAGAGAGGGCACATTCTGATAATAAAGGTGTACAATTAGTACTAAAGTTAATTCCAACATATTGTTAGAAGACATGGTCTTTAAAGATTTAATAGGTATTGTCAATAAGGAATTCCAGTATCTTTTTAATATCAACTTCAGAATATTTGTGTTTACGTTCAAAATAATTTTTAATGAAATAAAGTTGTAGATTACTAAAAGCAACATCTTCTTATTTCTTTTTAAAGAAAGAAGCGGGTATCTTTAATGTCAATTTGCCTTGTCTTTATACGTTGTGAAGTCATACGTTTTAAAGGTATTGATTTTGGCCATTTTTTTCTTATATCAATTAAAAAATTAATTTTTGATATCCGCATTTGATTAATACCACTTCCAGAAGTTTTTCCACGGTACTGCTGATGTTCTCCTTCAGTGTTTTTAATATTTCTTCAGATGTCAAGAAAGAGTCTTGGTAGAACAATACTTGTGACTCAATCCCCTGTGTATCTTTGCTTGAAAGTGTTTTTATAAAGTTTGGGAATTCAATATAGGTAGGATATTTCATTTTCGATATAATGTGAGGAATAAAACCCACTTATGAATTTTAAGATCCTCTCCCATTGAAAAAGAACATGCTTTATAAATTGGATTTTCACCGCTAATTTAAAAATTTAAAGTTTAGCAAATTGAACACTTCGGCCGATAAAACATAAACTGTTTTGTAAGCAGGTCTGTTATTGATAATGTTTGCGTTTCACATGCAGGGTGTGTTCAATTTGTTAAACTCTGCACACATCACTAAGCACAATACTGATGAGTTGGTTTTGCTTTCTCACATTTCTAATCTGAATATTCTGGATTATAGTTTTAATATTTTTCATTAATACATAACAAAATTTCTACTTTTCCTAAGTATTAAGGATAAATTTAACTTGTGAAAGCGCAAGGATGTGTCAGTCAAACGCGTCCTGGAATTTGTAGTTTCAATAATTTCCAGATAAAATAAGTTTTTTTATTATATTTCCGTGTGAAATGCTATAGCAACATATAAGTCATGATATTATACAGATAGAAAATTTGAGAATATATTAACTTCAACTCTGTGTCCAGGCACCTTTATAACAAGTTCCTCGAAAATCCAATTTCGATAAAGAGCTTCACAAACAAACAATTGTTGTTACATATTTTGTCAGATTGAACAAATAAATATTGATCATATATATTTCTTTTGTCGCTTCTAAACTACTGAAGACAGGAAGATAGATTGTATACAATTTGCCACTCAACCGTATGATGCGATATTTCAATACCAATCTTATACTCTTCTTCCATTCTGAAAAAAAGTGATATTGTTTTCTTTTTATATTCAAGATATCGTGAAGCTTAATTTTTTACAGAATTCACAATACACATGTATTAATATTGTCGCCATTGAAAAGACTGCATTCCCAGTTTTGAACCATTTAAAACGACTGATTTAAGATCTCAATGTTTATCAGTCCACCTCTGTTTGTCTGTGTTGGCTCTGCTCATAATTTGTTTTGTTTAAATGGACTTTTGAGAATGACCGCTATCCGTTATCTTTACATTTCACATATAAAGGCAAATATAGTCATTGAGAATGATACTTATTACTTTGTCATTTGAAATGCTTGAATATTCTGCTGTGTAAGTTATTTTCCAGCATTTTAGTCACATTATGATAACTGTAAAGTTAGTTATTCATAGGCATTATGATAATGCGCTCAGCTTTTTCAATTTCCACTTTGTTCAAGGCAGACGAAATACCCTCCCATTTCTCCCTTAGATATTGGTTTAAAAATATTTGGTTAAATACTGGTTTGAGAATTAATCTATGGAATAAATTTTTCTTGTAGCCTTTTTCTGCTACGAGTTTTCATTGAATTTCAGAAATTCGAGGCTCACGCACTGATGAAGAATACTATGGACTTTACTTCGTTAATGTGACGATTCTGACTGTCGAACTGCAATTTTTACAGATAATCATTTGCTGAGGGATACTGTTTTCTCCAGGTCTCCGAGCTCTGAAATGGTTTGTTGCTATGATACCCAAACTTTACAGGTGGTAAAATCGGGGCATAGGACATGAACAAGCTAGAGGTATGTTAACTGTGAATGTCATATCTGTTGCAAACTGACGTCCACAAAACATATCAGTTATGGCACAACATGCAGAAAATACCTGAAACCCTCATTTACAATACAA